GAATCTTCTTGAATATAAAACATACAGTGTTGCCAGGGGGTAATGTTTTGAGGGTAAAGTCTATAAACAGAATACTACTGAGATGAGTTCATGAAGGGCTGATTAGCATAAACAGAATTAGGATATGCAGGTATCAACTCCAGTTTATGGTGGACATGGTGATGTCGCTATGGACTTGGGTGATAATTTGAGTTGCAGTGTCAAGTTATTGACGAGTTTCATGGCTAGTAGAGGGATGTGGCTGGTAGTGAATGTTAGTCCCTGTTCCAAAGGGACACTCAGGGCAGAGGGGCAGAGAAGGGAGGAGTGCACAGTGAGATAGGCACAGTAGGGGAGGGAGACAGACGAATTAACCCAGTTTTATTGTGTGTTCTTTGTCCATCTCTGCTTTGGAGTGTTTCTGATGGTCTCCCAGATCCAATGCAGATATTTTGAGACTCTTGTGTAGACACCGGGTCGGTTGGGCTGTCCACATGGAAAATCTCCCCATGAGATGATGCCATAGAGTTTGCCATTGCAAACCAGTGGGCCCCCGGAGTCACCCTGGGTTGGAGAAGAGAAAGAAGGGCTCTTGATAAAGCAGAACAGAAGGTAGAGATGGGGAAGATGTGGGGAGGAGAGTGAAAGATGGAGATAGATAGATGTGGAGAGTCAGGGAGATGGAGAGTCAGGGAGATGGGGAGTCAGGGAGATGGAGAGTCAGGGAGATGGAGAATGAGAGAGATGGAGAGTCAGGGAGATGGGGAGTCAGGGAGATGGGGAGTCAGGGAGATGGGGAGTCAGGGAGATGGGGAGTCAGGGAGATGGGGAGTCAGGGAGATGGGGAGTCAGGGAGATGGGGAGTCAGGGAGATGGGGAGTCAGGGAGATGGGGAGTCAGGGAGATGGGGAGTCAGGGAGATGGGGAGTCAGGGAGATGGGGAGTCAGGGAGATGGGGAGTCAGGGAGATGGGGAGTCAGGGAGATGGGGAGTCAGGGAGATGGGGAGTCAGGGAGATGGGGAGTCAGGGAGATGGGGAGTCAGGGAGATGGGGAGTCAGGGAGATGGGGAGTCAGGGAGATGGGGAGTCAGGGAGATGGGGAGTCAGGGAGATGGAGAGTCAGGGAGACGGAGAGTCAGGGAGATGGAGAGTCAGGGAGACGGAGAGTCAGGGAGATGGAGAGTCAGGGAGATGGAGAGTCAGGGAGATGGAAACTCAGGGAGACAGAGATTTAGAGGGACTGACTGCTGGTTTCCAACATTCTCCATATCTCACCTCACAAGAGTCCTTCCCGCCTTCTTTGGTGCCAGCACAGAGCATGTTGGCAGTGATCTTCCCAGGATACACCTGCCGACACTCCTCGTCTGAGCGCAGTTCAATGTTGGCACACTGCAGTGTTTTAGGATAATTCACTGGGGGGGAGAGAGACCATCTGAGGAGGCTTGTCCTGGATGTTAAAGAGTCAGAGTGGGCAGGAAATTGAGATGGGATAAGACGAAGGGAAAGATAAGGCAGAAAGTAGTAAAGAGACAAAAATATGGACAGACATGGGAACGAGGACAAAAGGAGGCGAGGGCAGGAGGACTGGGGCAGGGGATGCAGGGATGGGGAGAGATAAGAGACCTGAAGCTGGGGTGGTGCTGGGGAGGTACCCCAGCACTTCCCATGTGAACATGAGGACCAGAGTTCAGATCCCTAGAATATGTAAATGTCGGGAGCTGGCCTGGTGGACTGCCTATAATTTCAGCCTCAGAAGAGACAGGGAATCCCCAAAGCAAGCTGGTTAGCAAGGGCAGCCATGAGAGTGGGCTTTGGTTTGATGGAGAGACCCTGCCTCAATGAATAAGGTGGAAATGTGGTCAAGGATGGTTCCCAGAATCAACCCTGAGACTCCACCTGCACTCCCACACACATGTGTGGGCCCCACACAAGTAAATGTGCATACACACATGCACACCACTTGTATGTGAAAATGGAAAGAGGGGAAGAACTAGAGGTGGGAAGGATGCAAGGAGAAGCGAGAGACCAGGAGGTGGGGGAGGAGAGTGTGAGGGGAAGAAAGATGCAGAAAGGAGATGGGAGAGAGCGAGGGATTGCTGTGCAGATGCCTGCTGACATATATTATGCTATATGTCAGTCACATGTAAGACATATTCTCTACTGCTCAGTACATCCCAACCCTTTGCTTTTTAAAAATTTTGTGTATGTGTGTATTATGCTAAAGGAGGTGTGAGGAGTCAGGGGACAACTCTTGGAGGTCAGTTCTCTCCTTCCACCATATGAGGAGCTGAACCCAGGTTGCCAGATTGTGGCAAGAACCTTTACCCCTGAGTCCTGTGGCCAGCCCTATTTTACTTTTTTAAAAAGAGATTTTGAGACAGAATTCTCTGTGTAGCCCAGGCTGACTTCTTCTCTGTAGCTCAGGCTGGCCCTGAACTTGTGATCCTAATGCGTCAGTCCTCCTGTCATTATAGGCCTGTGCCACCAGGCCCAGCTTATTATATAATCATTTATTCTAAGTCTGGAGAGATGGCTTAGGAAACAAGAGTTTGATTCTCAGCTCTCATGTCAAGCAGCTCACAACTGCCTGTTGTGCCTGCTCTAAGGGGGATCTGGCACCCTCTTCTGGCCTCTGTGGGCACTGTACACACATGCACAAACCCACACATAGACACACACAGAGAGAATAAAAATAAAATAAATTGTATGTATGTATGTATGTATGTATGTATATTTCCAGTACTTGGGAGGCAGAGCCAGGAGGATCTCTGTGAGTTCCAGGCCAATAAAGCTATATAGTTAGATCTTGTCTTAAAATCCCAAACACACTCTCTCTCTCTCACTCTCTACCTCCCTCTCCCTCACATATAGGTATGTGTGTGTGTGTGTGTGTGTGTGTGTGTGTGTGTGTGTGACTCATACATTTGTAATATTAATATTAAGGAGATACATGTCTTCATTTATGTAGACTTATTTTTATAAAGGGACTGGCAAGATGGCTATTGGATAAATATACTTGCAGCCAAACTTGAGGATCTGAGTTTGATACTCAGAACCCAAATGGTGGGAGGAAAGGACAGGAATCCTGCAACTTGTTCTTTGACCCCCCCCCCTTTGGCTGCTCTGGTATATGCACCTTCCCTCCAGCACACAACCAAAACCAATACAAATATAAGAAGAATTCTCCTCTGATTTCCCCTGCTTATTGCTGCCCCAGTTTCCTCACAAATATAAGAAGAAGAATTCTCCTCTGATTTCCCCTGCTTATTGCTGCCCCAGTTTCCTCAGGCATCTGTGAGGACTCCAGCAGCCGGTGCAGGAACTTACCCTGGGGGCTGGTGGTGGTGCCCCAGCCAGAAACGCGACAGCAGGTGCCGGTGGGTAGGCAATCGTCCGGGGAGAGTGGCAGAGGACGAATGTGGCTGCTGAGCTGGACTGGGGACTTCAACTCCAGAAGCATGATATCATGGTCGTGGTTCAGGTGGGTGGGGCTGACCTGGTATTCAGGATGGGGGATAGAGCGGACCACCTCCATTGCCTGCTCGCCGATCTCCACACGCCCCAGGGCATGCTTGCCTAGGTGAACTGTGTACCCACTGTGGGTGCAGGAAGTGGTGGGAAAGAGACAGATGAGCCCATCTCTGTCCCCACCCCAGCCCCAGCCTCTTCCCCACCCTGCACTCAAGGCCCCACGTACTCTTTCCTGCAGTGAGCTGCTGTGAGTATCCATTTGGGATGAACCAGAACGCCTCCACAGAGAAGCCGTCCACGGACTAGCAGAGCTGCCTGCCAAGGCTGAGAATGGGGGAGGCAGGTGTAGCCACCTGGGAGAAAACCGTTGGTCCCATTGGTCCCATTGAGAATCTTGGGATAGTCCCGGGAGATTCCTGTCAAAGACAAGAAACTGTTAATTTGTCCGTCCATCAATCCATCTACCATATCTATCCATCCACTCACCCATCCTTCTAGCTATCAACCACCATCAATCTGTTATCAATTCACCCAGGCATCCATTAATCTACCACACACCCATCTACATATCCACCAACGTGCCCACCCATTCATCCATTCACATGTTCATCCATCTACTCAAGCATTTATGTGTCTATCCATCTATCTTCTACTCATCTATCTATCCACCCATGTAGCCTTCCATCCATTTACACATCTACCTGTCCATACACTCATCCATCCATCCATCCATGCATCTATCAATCCTCCCATATATCCACTCTCTAATCTACTTACCCACCACCCCATTGATTCACATCCCACCATTCATCTCTGTATCTGTATATCCACTCACATACCCATTCCCAAACATCCACACATGTAGACATTTATCCCTCTATCCATCCATTCATCCACCAACCTATCTATCCATCCTCCCAACCACCAATCCATTCATCCACCTATCCATCCGTCTTCCATAGCCCACCTATGTATTCATTCATCCATTGCTAATCCATCCAACCATCCATCCATCCTTTCAACATATATCTACTGGGTGCTTTTCCAGTTCTACAGACCACCTACAAATAGCCATGCCCAAATTCACATCTCCAACCCCAACCTTTGCAGCTAGAAGCTCAAATACTATCAAGCCAAACACCTCATACACATCTTAAAGTTGGTGTCTAGAAATTGATCTTTCTCACTCCACCAGTTCCTTCCAGTCCTTCTCATCTTGATGCTCAGCCCAAACTTTGGGTTCAACCCTTGCTTCCTTTCATCCCTTCATCATTAACAATAGTCCTCTTATCTCTTAAACATCCAGTTTAAAATGTTTAATATTTATTTTATGTGTGTGAATGTTTTGCCTGCATGCATGTATGTGCACCATATGCAGGCCTGGTGCTCAAGGAGTTAGAGGGCATCAGAATCCCTGGAAATGGAGTTACAGATGGTTGTAAGCCACCACGTGGGAGCTGGGAACCAAACCGGACCCTCTGCAAGAGCAGCCAATGCTCTTAACCACGGAGCCATCTCTCCAGCTCCCTGAGATCCAGTTTTTTTTTTTTTTAATATGGAACACCTCCCAAATTTGCGTGTCATCCTTGCACAGGGGCCATGCTAATCTTTTCTGTATGTTCCAATTTTATTCCCTGCTATCACCTTGGAGGGAACAGCAGGATGCCTGTAATCTCAAAGCTGGGGAAGGAAAGACAGGAGGATGGCTGGGGTTTGCTTGCAGCTGATACAGTTGAATTGGAGAACTCTAGGCTCAGTTGGAGAGATTGTTTCAGAAAATAAGGTGGAGAATGATAGAGGAAGATGCCTGATGTTCACCTCTGGCCTACACACAAGCACACACACACACACACACACACACACACACACACACAGAGAGAGAGAGAGAGAGAGAGAGAGAGAGAGAGAGAGAGAGGCCATGTGTCACTTGGAAACCTGTTTGTCTGATTCTCTGACTCCCTCCTCTTGGAACACTCTGCTCTGGCCTCATGCACCTGTTCACCCAACACACTAGAGCCTCTCTTAGTACTTGTTGTTCCCTGCTTCTGAGTCCTTTTTCCTTATGTCAGTCATAGGCCCACATGTTTCATTATGCCAACCATAGCCACATGTAGGTCTTGAAGTCAATTAAAATAAAATCCAAATCTCAATTCCTTGGGGATGCCAGACTCATGTCAGATATTCATTTACCACAAGGCCAGGCATAAGCATGTGGTGTAGACAGGGTACACTTGAGCTGGTGCATGGAGAATCCAGAGGCATATAGCAGGCTCCTGCTTCCCTGTGAGATGTAAGTCTATACATTACTTCTTCAGCAAAGCCTTCTGGAACCCCCGGTCTAAAGTCCCCCTCCTGGACCTCAGGCATGCCATGTTTCCGTGAGGATGCTTGTTAAACTGCAGCTCTGCATCTCTTCAGGCTTGCTGGGAAGGCCCTCTCCTTACCCCATCCTGTCTTCTTTTTCCTCCCTCTCCCTTCACCCTTACCATAAACTCCACTGACAACAGCCATCTGAACTCTGTTCAGCACTTTCATTCCTTGGATCTAGCATATGTGACAACAAGAGAGACAGCTGTGGGTGGTGGGCTGGAGCATCTAGATCCCAGTGGGCTGCTTTCTTACCATGCTGTGTCCTGCAAATGACCAGCCTCAGCTTCCCTCTCTGTCCAAGTAGGAAGAACGCAGTAATCCCTTTGTATCTGTGGAGAACTGGTTCTAGGGCTCTATAGACATTGCAACCCAGGAACATTCAAACCCTTTACATAAAGCATCATCATGTTTACATATAACCTCTACACACCTTTCCATACCATTAAACCACCTCTGATGATTTATAATAGCTAATAAAAGCCAAATACTGTGTAAACAATGGCTATACCTTATTTCCCTGGGAGTAATGCCATAATGGGAAAGCCAACATGAGCTCAGCAATGACAAGAATAGATTCTTTTCTTTTTGCTGCATAGTTGGTTGAATCCTCCAAAGGGGAGCTGTGGATACAGATGACTGGCTGTGGGAGCTCATCACACATTAGGGAGCAGCGGGTTTCATCAAACCTCCAACCTAAGCATCTTACAAATGCTTAGCTACAAGCGAGGCTCCTTGTCACACAGCCCACTTCCTCACCTGTGCATGTTGGAATGGGACCCATGGTTTTGAGAGTCACGGGCAGGAATAGAGGGTCATTTTAGGTGGGACGAAAAAAATGAGACAAGGGTGACATTAAGAGGTAGAGACAGGAGGATAAGAAAGTTCAAGGTCATCCTTGGCTACCTAGCAAGTTTGAGGCCAGGCTGGGCTACTTGAAATCCTGTCTCAAAATGAAAAAGTGAATAAATAAATGGCAAACTCAGAAGCTGAGTTATGGTTCAGTTCTCTGTCAACTCTGGGTGTGTCTGTGTAGAAGACTCATGAGGAGGCTGGATGGATTGAAACCCTCACTGTCGTCAAGTTCCCTCTCAGTACCAGGGGGAGCAGATCCTTACCCAGCACCTGGACTTTGAAGGTCCCACCACCTTTAGTTGCTATTTTACAGAAGACAAAAAGGGCCAATTAAGCCAAACTGGCTGTCCCAGGTCTGTTAGCCCATCTCCTTGGGAGACTAACACAGAGGGATGGCAAACTCAAGACCTGCCCAGGGTATAGAAGTTCAAGCTGCCCTTAGTGCGACTCTATCTCAAAATAAAAAGTAAAAAGAGAACTGGGGCCGGGGGTTTGGTGGTGCACGCCTTTAATCCCAGCACTCGGGAGGCAGAGGCAGG